TCAGATTCCTTCAATAAACAAGCTGCTTGGCTCGCGTTAGCTGCAGAGGGGGCAAGGAACACAGCAGGGCAAGAAGAGGAGAGTGGTCATGGTGTTAGTGCTGTGCCAAGGAGAGAGCTGACAGAGGATAAAGAGACGGCTGGAAGGAGTGGGATTAAAAAATGCAAGTAGATCTTTGTGTGTGGCAAGTTAAGTGGCTTCTGGTTTATGTACAGTCTCCTCCTTGCCGCTGACTGAATGCCAGACTCAGACCTGCCCTGTTCCTATAACAGCAGCCCCAAGGACGGGAGGGTACAAAAGACCCTCAGTGCCTTATGGGATGGACATCCTTCAAATGGGGTGTGGCAGACCCCGGCCAGCTACAGCCTTCCTGTGCTGTCCCATCACTGCACCCTTCTTGGAGGAACCCCATCTGCTGGGCTCTGTAGCTTCCTGACATTTCCTCAGTACAGAGTTACTGTTGTGCCAAGTCCAACAATACTCCCTTCATTCTCCCTGCCATTTTGCTAAAGCACACAGCAGCAGCTCAGGTAAATTACAGGCCTGCAATTACTGGGTGTAACTTCTTGGCCTGAGTTGAAAGGATGGTAGACCTGGGGATTGCAGAACTTCCTCCTGAGCCTGGGAAACCATGAATTGCCTGTGGAGCCTGTGGCTTTATGCAGTCCTGCAAAGTCGTCCTTTTTTTCCAGCCCTTTTGTTTACCACCCCAGTGGCAGTGCTTTTACCATCTCGGGCAGCTGCATAGCTAAAGGGTTACATGTCTGTATATTCTCTGATCTTTCCCTCTAACACAGAAAGACCACAGAGAGTAAGAAATTCTTGTTCAGAAATTCCTGTCAGGGAGGCAGTGTAATGATTTTAATGGGATATCCCATTTCTTCTTTTTCAACTCTCACATCAAAGAAACAAGCGATTTTTCCTTGGGTCCCAGCCTCCTCCATCACATGTGATAGTTTGGTCTTACACTTCCACTAACACTGAGTTTTCTGCACAGTGCCTGACTTCAGGCAATGAAATATGTAAGAGAGTGCAGCTGTTTGGGTGAGAAAGGTACCACAACTCATGTATAGCTGTGCTTGTTAAACTGGACTGGAGGAAGTGTAAGAATAGCAAAATTAATTTACATTTCTTTCCTAATCAGATGCCATAGCAGAGTCAGAGATAGGTACGTGAACTCTTCCTCTCAGACTTAACTGTTCACCTGGAATGTGTCTCAGATTTCAATTTTTTTTTTTTTATTCCTTTAAAATTTTCATCCATTTTTGAACTGGTTTAGCTTGGGAGACATCCCTGTGTCAACATGTCCCTCTGCTCTCTGCTGGAGTGCCTGGCAGGTGCAATGGGCCAAGCTCATCATGTTTCACCCTCTGCAGGGATGCTTCATTCTCCCTGTCCAGACTACAGCTCCTATCATTCCTCACTCTTGCATCTGACTGAATTTCTCAGCTGCATCCTGGTAAACACACAAACAGAGGGACTCCAGGCATGGGAACAGGCTCACAGGATCTGCAAGGGCTCCACTGGTACAGTTTATGATGGGATCCATCAGGAAGAGAAGGCAAAGGGAGAACTGACAGGCAGGGTAAGACATTTTCAGGAGCTATTCCCTGGCACAGTGCCCTTACCTTTCCCTGATGGGAACAGCCTGTCCTCATCAGAAAAGAATGAAGTCTTTGTCTTGAGTCACCAATGGCATCAGTCTCCAAAAATACCTTCCTGCTTCCAGCACAAACCTGGTTATTAGGTCAAGCATATTCAACACCCAGTAACTACAAGAGGAGTTTGGCTGTGACAGATGCTGATTGCAAAAGACTTCACCTGATAAATTGCTTATTAGTTGATGTGTTGTTCTGAAGGAACAGAGAGTGGCAGAAGACCAGATTTTGAGGTATTGGCTACCACATCTGGAGTGTCAGAAATCAGACTATGTAAAATGCAGCACACAGAAAAGTTACACAGTGTTTCAAACAGTGTCATGGTCTCTGGACCAGAAAGGGAAGATCACAGTATGATCAAAATGGCCTTTCCATCCCAGCAAGCTCAATGTTCCCAGCATTTCTGCTACTTTTTATGCAAAAGACTCCTTCTTTGGAAAAAAATCCTTTAAAAAGAATTTGGCCAAAACCCATCCAACAACAACCAAATACACTGGCAAGCAGGAACCTTGGGAGCTCCCTGAAGACAACATTTCTATTGCCTCTTGAACTTGGGAGACTTGTTTCCCATGGCAGTGGGGCAGCTCTCTAATGCTTAGCTAGGTAAGGATGTAAATTAGTAAATTTGTAAATTAGTGTCGTTCACTGTACAACAAAGACTGGTTTGTCAGATGCTCATACAGATGTTGTAGCTCCAGAGCATTTACAAGAGGCAAAGCGTAACTTAACAGCTCCAAATTAGCTTTCAGAAGAGAATACATGATGCTCAAGGTTTGCCAAAAAAGCAGCATGCAACTCTTCTGAAAAAGCAATGCTGCTATGCCTCATGATGCTTCAGCCTCCTGTGGTGCCAGATGTAGCTCGTATTTTACTATTTCTTTCTTCAAATAGCAGTGCTCAGGGGGGATAAACTTTACTTAACCTAATTAATTTTAATCACAGCTTTCAAATCTCATACTGTGCAAAGAATTACAAATTGGGATACATTAATAGAAGCCATGGTTTATGCTGCAAGCTAATCGGGAAGTGTGCATTTACATTTTCTGCATGAGTTTGCAATTACCATTAAAATAAAATTCAGTTATGTCCTTTTAAATTACTAAAATGTGAAGAACAGATTGAGCTGGTCCCATTTGTTGTAGAAAATTACTTGAAAATGGCCTACATTTCAAAGAATTAAATGATTCTTACTGAATAAGAGGTTTTAGAAAATGATTTCCAGTTGTCTAGAGTTAATGTGCTTCCAGGCGTTCTGGTTTAAACAATCTTTCTTTAAAAATAATGGATTGCCTAATGTTTCCTACCTGCTTCAGTATAGATTCAGCTACATCTTCCTTTAGGAATAAGCCAGAGAAACGACGACATCTAACCTAATCACATCCAAAACCTAACTCCAAAATACCACAGCAGTCAGCATCAGTCCAGGAAATTTCCTTCCCAATGGGGAGGTTCCTCCTTATGCCATGAATTGCTCTTCAGCAATGTCCACTCTTGTACCTAGAAAGTTAGGTGTCAATTTTCTGTGGTCTGTGTCACCCCAAGTCCGGGGGCTTCAGTTTGAAGGGTGCCAATGATCACAGAAGAAGTAAAAATAAAGTGGCCCCAGTCTTGCTGATATATATGCCAAAAGACCTGATTTTCTTTTTTTTTTTTTAATAGGACTATGTGCCCAACTAGATGTCAGATAAAAATGATTTCACCAGAAAGCACTCATCTTCAAAAACAACTTGATCTTTCAGGAAAGCAAGTCCCACTGACTTCAGTGAAACCAAGTTTTCAGGGTGCCAAACACTCTCCCTGAGCATGGAGCTCAGATCCCTAAGTTACCTGGCTCTTTGAGAAAGTGTTATCTCACTAGAAATTGTCTCATTTGAAAGAAATGTTAAATAGCTCTGAAAGGAACATTGTCCTTGGGAGTGTATTGTTGCAGTGTTGCAGTCTGACAGTGTGCAAAATTGGTTTTAATATAAAGCTTTACGTCATAATGACAGCGTTCAAGAGAGTACAGCGGTGTTTGTACTTATTTTCTGGCACAAACCTGTTGAAACTTTTTTTTTTTTTTTTTAAATTCAAGATCATGTAGAGCAAGCAGTGCAAAATCTAGAGTAAAACCACAGTGTCATCATAGTTTGTGCAGACACAGAATCAGTTTAGTCTTTTGTATAGCTAAAAGGTCAAAATGCATGGCTCTCAGGAAAACACAAGCAGATGTATCTATTATAGATGATAACCTTTAGCTAAATTGTAAACTCCATGGTGTACATGATGTACTGTCAATTAAATAATTGACAGTACATCAGAGCTCCAGGAAACCTATGTTTAACATGCTGAGTTTAAATAAAATGGCTTGTGAAAATATTTTTTACTAAAACATAATATGAAGTACAAATATTGACACAGAGACCAACAGGATGAAACATTTCCAGGTTATTCAATAGATTGCTATATCTAAAATAGCCCTAAACCTCATTAAAATCTCTGGAAGAGGAAAATTAACCACCTTCTCACCGTGAAATATCACTTCAAACTTGAATTTGCAAGAGAAAGCTTGTTGAGGGTTTCTTCTCTTTAAAAATGCAGCTTAAATGCTCTGTAGAGTGCTCATAACCACAGAATGTTATAAGTAGCTTTAAAGGAAATGATGAGCTGACTCTTAACTGATGTAAATCACCAGAGCTCTGCTAGAGTAAGTGGAAATTTATTCAATAGACAATTTTAATTTTAAATAAGATACAGATTGCTGTTCAACCAAAATAGTTTCCATATACTTTCTTTAAATTGCAACGAGAAAAGGAAAAATCACTTTTCCACTCTTCCAGTTTCCATAGGTGACTGTGAGACTATGTGCTCGTTTGGCAGAAAGAAATGTAAAAACATACCTCATTTCCCTCTCTGTCACACTCAGGTAAATCACTGGTAAGTTTAGCAAGGTTGCACTGCTGCAAAAAGTCAGAGGGATCATATGCATAAAGGCAGAGATACCTCACCTCCTGGTGATTCATCTGTGTCTTTTATGACAGGTAGTAGGATGAGAGTGGTGCAAATGCCACACTTCTGCCTTCCATAGCACCCTGCTCACTGCTGAAACAGGAGTTGGACTGCAACAAGCATTTCTTGAACTTCCTCAGGGTTTAAGGTTGGATTCCACTATGGGTGTGAGGCTTACTGTAGGGCTTATGATGGAGCACCTGCTTTTTGGTGGCTGCTGTAAATACTGCAAGCATCCTTTGGTCTTTTCAAAGGCTACTCTACTAATTAATCCTGATTACCTAAGCACTGTACTGGTTTTTGTTTGTTTGTTTTTATTGTTGTTTGTTGTTGTTGTTTTCTTCTTTTTTTTTTTTTTAATGCAGAAAATTTTAATGCAGAAGTAACCTCCAAGGTGTTTATTACAATAAATAAAGATCAATTTCAGACACTTCTGAGATTACTTCTTAACTCTTATAATCCTACTTCTTTTCTTGAGTCCAAGCCTGCCCAGCTGAAATCAAGGTCAGCCTAGATTTTAAGTAGGCTCTTTGTAGTAGCTGCAAATCCCAGCCTCTACTCAAGAGTACATTTTCTTCGCTCTTACATTACTAACAATCGCTGATTTCAGACACAAAAAAACCCCAAAATCATTCTGCACCCATTAGAGAGGCTTTGTGCATTGAATAGGCTCCATGTGATGTCCCTTCACAACAATTCTGGACCATAAGGAGGAAACCACCGCAATTCCCATTTCCAGGCTGTAAAACAGCTTTCAGCACCACCAGCTGACTACTTAGTGTATTTTAATTAGGTCATGAAGGTTACCAAGCCACTGTGTTGAAATGAAACGTACACACAACTGAAGACTTGCTCACTGGCAATCAAATTTTTAAGTTACCAGGCCTGCTGGGTTCTCTCTGCAGAGCAAAGCTGCTTCTTCAAAAGCAGCGATATTCCTCTTTGGGTAAGAGAAGAAAAAAAAAGGCCACATTTTTGCATAATCGCAGCTTTTAGTAGTACAAAATTCACTGCTCTGTGGGAAATTGCAAGACAAAAAGTCTTAGTAAGTATGAAGTCCTCAGTGCTCTGACATGTTAACGCAAGGGGAAAATTGCCTTGCACAAAAGATTTTATGAGGGTTATTTGGCACCATTTTTCTGTTGCCGGGTCATTATTCAGGGTCTCATCCAGTTACAGAGCAGAGCCACAGAGGTTTGAAGGCCTCTGAGCAATATAGCTCAAAAAAAAAAAAAAAAAAAAGAGATTTTCTCCTGCTGCTCAGCCCTTCTTCAGCAGAAGTCTGTCACCTCCAGGAAACCCAGGCTATAGCATGGCGTAATTTAGCCCCTGCTTGGCAGTCTCAGTATTGTTTAATTAACTTTTCCAAATTTATTGCGGTTTCTTGCAGATCCAGCGTAAATGCTGTGTCTTGGCTACTGTAAAGCTGACACTGAGAAATCTTGAAGAAAAACTACTTGTACTTATGACCACTTACACAGTGAAAAAATGTTGCTTTTGTCCACTAGTATGCTCAATGACAAAAGAAATAGCACATTTTTCTTTTTCACTTTACTTGAATTTAGAAGCTAATACGTGTCTACCATATATTTATTTCTATATATTGACAAATAAGGTCAATAATTAGGTAGTTTAAAACCCATGTGTGCACATATCCAGTCTCACAACAGAGATTACAACCAGAGGATGACAGTGTTAAGTCCTCTGTACTCAGCTAAACCGCAGCAACGAAGAATATGGGAAAAAGAAAGCTGAGCTGAGCATGAAGTAGACATTGATCATTGAAAAACTGTCTGGTCATTTCAACCATGATTTAGGGTGTTGGTGGGGCACATCATGGGCACAATCCAGGACAGGCATTGGCCTCGGCTGGCTCCCTGGCCAGGGCTCGGCAGGAGCCCCAAGGCAGGGGGTAACAGCACCCCAAACTAAGCATGTATAGAAATTTCTGCAAGACTAAAAAAGGTGACTCTCCCAGCAAGAGATGACAAATCAGATCTTCAGTAACCCACCAATGGTACAATGAGAGTAAACACAGCACAGTGCCATTCTCTAGTGTGCTGGGTTCTGGCTGTACCCTCCTGAATTCACCTGTTCTCTGGATCATTGCAAGAAACTCTGGCATTAATTTTTTTTTTTTTTTAAAGTAAATAAATAGAGTTTGTCCTGGTTTTTCAAGCCAAGTAGGCCACAGTTCTTTCAAAATGATGGGCCTCCAGGGAGCCAAGAGTAACTGAGCTAAGTCAAGAGACTTGCACAGTTTGCTATTTTGTAGAGTCCTAAAGGTTTCCTGCAGATATAAGTGAAACATGCATTTAATTAATTTTTGTTTGCCCTCTCACTGGCACCATGATAAATTAATACATTTTTATTTACAGCTTTGCAATCACTGCTAGATTCATAAAAGGAAGATGATCTTATATTTCCTGGGTTCTAACTAGCAGAGAAGAAAGAATTTGAGCTTGGTGAGAAATTCTTTCTTCTTATGAGCACTGCATGTAGAGATACAGCTTTAGGCACATTCTTTCCTAACTGCACAGCATTTAAATGTAATTAAGCACAGTCACTTGTACCAACCAAGGATCATGAAGTGTATAACATAAATAGATCTCTGTTAACCTCTTACATCAATTAAAAAATGATACCATAATTTTTAAATGATTTTGCAGAATTTTTAACAAGTAACAATGTGTTTTAAGTATTTTACTCTCTCCTTGAACTATAAAGTTCTTTAGAACATTACCAGAAAACTCTCTTACTTTATTTTATGTCATTAACAGTTATGATCCTGGACAAGATTAGGCACAGTCAGCTAGTTTGTAGCAAGCCCAAAATTCATGGTCATTTATTAAATTTTTATATGTAGGAGACACATTCTCTCGTATTAAGATTCTCCCATATCAGCCTGCTATGCAAATCTAAAAGACTTACCTATTCATACTGTGCTATCCCACTTTCACAACAACCAGCTGATCTGGTTTGTAATTGGTTTATTTCCACTTGCATCAGTTTAATCAACTTTGCTACAAACAGCAGTTAAAAGTAATTAAAAAAAGGACCCAATCCTTGCTAACTAAAAGGGTGCTTCCTGGATCTAGCTTGGCTAGATCCAAGACCCCTCTTCTGAATTGTACTGCTTAACTAATACCTAATCAGTCACAGATTCACTGGAGTCCACATTATTGGAATGACAGGTCAGCTGTGCTCCACTGGGCCTCAATTTTCCTGTAATCTTTTTTTTTGGAAAGTTATTTGAAGTCTTCAGGTGAGAACCGCTCTGCAAGTGTTATATATCAGTAATAAAAGTAGGCCTAATTACCACATCTTTTTCCCCTCACAGGCTTCCCACGGGGCCAGCATCACCCAAGGAGATGGTTCTGCAGTCTTTTGCTGGTGTTTTTACCCTACGATGCAAGATGGGCTCCAGTTACTGGTTTATTGTTGTAAGCTTATGCCGAGACTTGTGCATCTAAATACTGGTGAAAATCCAATCACTGCAAATTCTTTTTACTTATGCTCTGCACATCTTGCCAAACAAGCCGTTGCCTCCTGGTTGCTGCAATGACATTTTTTACAAGGCACTGCTGCCTGGGAGACCAGATGACAGTGCTAATGACCCATGTCCTTGTTCTCTGCTTCCCTTGCTTACGCTTCTTGTTTCTCCACACTCAATTAAGGAAAAGGAATCGAGGTTAATATTCCTGTCCTTGAAATTAAATCTACCCTTGTCCCACAGTGCAATTAATGAAAACAACTTGGATACAGAGCCTTTCATCTGTTGTTCACTGGTTTATTTAGTAGGAGTTGACAATGACTCACACCATTAATTTGTCTGTTGAGTGGCAAACAGCGAATTAGCGACGTTAGCCTAGATTGTAGACATAAACCTTGCAAAATCACTGCCATGAGTTAATACCTCTGCTGCTCTTCGAGGTGAAGAGTTGTGGTGACTATGAGACTCCTCCTTGTGTCACAGGTCCTCCTGCAGCCTGCCTGCAGACACACCAAGGGTACACATGGCTGCTCTTGATACCACTAATTCTAGGGGTAATTAGATAAAACCAGCTATTATACATCAAACATCAGCCATGAGATGTCCAAATAACAGGGCAAGTTATGCTATGCACTCATGTTGTGAAAAGTGCTGGTTAATTATGTATTTGGCTATTAAATGACTTCAAGGTTCAAATTAAGTTCAGCAGCAGAAACACAACAGAAGGTCAGAACGAGTGTAGGTATTGTCTCTGATTTTTCTCACTGGCAGATGCTGCCCAGTGGGGAGTTCTTTTGGTATTCACAAATGCTAGACATCTGAGAGTTATCTCTCCCATATCCACTTGTGTAGTCTGACTTGCAAGGCAGAGAGATTTATGTTCTACATCGTTTCTTCATGACCATGAATTAGGCTCGGGGCTTGAATTACTGTGGAGGAACACATCTCTCCCTTGCCAGTGAGGCAAGTGGGAGAAAGTGTCTTTGTGAATACTTCTACGACCCCTCCAGCCTCCTGCTCCAAGGCTGAGCTCTGAGAAAATGGTTACCACGTGAGTAGAGACAGCACCTTCCCTCTACAACCCTGATCCTTGTTATGGAGGAGGCTGCATATATTCAAGCTCACAGCAACAGGAATATCTTCCACTCACTGCAGCTCTGATACGTTCGGGTAGGCTTTCCAACCCTGACAAGCACACTCAGCTCTTGTAAATAAAGTGTAGTTTTCTTTCCCACATTTCTTCAGAGCAAAACAAAATAGATCCCCAGAGTCAGAGCTTACTTCAAGTCAAGTTGAAAATTTTTGAACTCTGCTGAGCCTGAAAGAAAGGGGAGCCGGCATCAGTGTGTTATCATCACTCACACCACAACCACATAAGATCTGAGCTGACACCATGGGAAACATCAGTCCAAGAAAATACCAGCCACTGAATCATAAATGTTCAGGAGGGCTCAAAGTGCTTAGTGTTCATCATCTGATTCTTAAGGTACTTGAATTTATGCCAAGTTAATAAGAGAACAGCATTCCCTGCAATTCATTGCTATACGGTACAGCAATATTTTATGCAACTGACTGCAATAACACTGATGCTGTATTAAATTTTTGACTGGCTTGAGGAGGCAGCCATTTTTCTTCTCTTGATGTGCTCAGGCTGGAACACAGATGATGGAGTCAATAGCACTGAGATTTGAGAAATCTGTTGTGATGATCTTGCAGAAACTTCACAATGTAGTGTGCTGCTGTGGTGGCTTGAATACAGATGAATAAATGCCTCGGCTGAATGCTTCTGTATTTAAGGCACATTTTAGAGCTACTGCACACTTGTCCGTCACACAGCAGGAGGGACGCTGAACCAGAACATAATCAGTCAGCACTTTTAAACTTCTTTTAAGCACTTTTAAAAACATTCAGCTCATTCATCCTGCAAGCAAACAGGGCTCTTGGGACCTAGCAGCACTGGCTGACAAAGGGCTACTACTGATAATATATATTACACTGCCAGTATGGACAGCTCTTTTGTTTAAACAAGTGTTCTAAGCCTCATATTTCTTAAACATTAATTTATATATTACCTTTCCATTGGTTCTAATATGTTTTCTTTGGGGGAGGGGACATAAGTAATTACGAGAAATGCTGTCTTGTGGTGCAAGAAGCCAATAGAAATGAAGAAACCTTAAGCAACTTATCACTATAAAACATTTGTAAGAAACTTGGTCATCGCAGCTGCTGCTGTGACACTTTCCTGGGAAATGGGGAAGAACATATCCTCTTCCTACACCTGCACGTGCTGTTAGTGATCAAGCACTGTACTGTCTCGCGAGCCTGATGTTTGTTAAAGAGTGCAATGCTGTCCATAGTTCTGACAGTGAAAGGGTCTCATGGTTTGCTAGGAGCATAAAAGTCTCTCAGACAAATTGACAGAGTGGGAAAAAAGCCTAAATGGTCCTAAACCCATTGAATTAAAGCAGCAGAGATTGAAAATGCAGTTTGACTACAGCACTTTTTCGGGGAGGCACAGCATAATATGCAAAATTATCGATAAAATGGGCACATTCAGCTACCCAGCTGTGTTGGTAAGGCTTTTTCCTCTTTTTCCTTTTAGGTCTGAGAACTCGGAGCAGTCAGGGAAGCAACCAAAAAAGCCTTCATACCACTTTTTTCACCATATGGTTCTTTGGTATGATGTCCCACATCTTCTGGTATGTTCCCTGGATCCAGAGATGTGGGATACAGTACACTCAATGACCCTCATGCACATTTGGTTTCGTTTGCTTTTTTAATTCCCCAAAGCAAATCTCTCCCCAGCCATCTCCTGCAACCTAGGGTTTTTGATAAGCATAAAATTATCACCCTAAATCTCACACTTCACTGGAGCTTTGGTGTCTGCCAGCACTCGAGGACACCCAGAGCGGTGCTTAAAGGTCCTTAATGAAAAGCAGCAGCTTGGCTCTCACCATCAGCCCTGCTCACCCTCAGCCACAGCACCGTGCTCTGATGCAGAGCACAGCTGCACTGACCAAAATGGCTCCTTGCAGCGTCTCTGAGGTCGTATCTGAGCACTTTACTGACAGAAGCAGTCTGGGCTTGGCAGCCCCGCAGACCCCAGGCAGCCCTCAGAGGACAAGCTAAATTAGCTTCACCTCCTACCTCATGAACAATTCCTGGCTATGCCCTACCCACATTGCTAATGATGATGATGATGTAAGAAACTTTAATAAGAATCTGATTTGCACGTACCAGGTTTAACTTTTTGGAGACATCTGCTTGAGGAGTCCTTCAGTGACAGGCACAGGCAGGCTCCTGTGGGACCCTGGAGAACAAAGATGCTCACGGGAATACTTCCACAGCACTGGTTTCACAAATATGGATACCCCCAGATGACAGGATGACTTGTTCCCTCTTACAGCCTAATCATCATAACTTTGCCTAATTTTTGGAAAGGATTCTGAGAAGTCTTAAACATCTACTGTAGAGACACCAGCAAAGCTGCATAAAGGGCTCTCCTTTTCTTAAGTACATTTTTGGCCACCCCCCTTTTCACATGGCAGGAGCAACCAGGACAGTCAGGGTGGCTTTGTAGATGCCCCAACATATGAGGTCCACATTGCTACTCCTCATGAAAAAGGAGAGAAACAGATCTAAATAGAGTTCTTAGGCACATACACCTCAACAGAGAATGGTTCAGGTTGAAAGGGACCTTAAGATCATCTAATTCTAAAAGCAGGTTACTCAGAGTTCCATCCAACCTGGTCTTGAACACTCCCAGAGATGGGGCATGCACAACTTTTCTGGGAAATCTGCTCCAGTGCCTCACCACCCTCTGGGCAGAGATCATATAAAGATCTTATGATCTTCAATCTGCCTACAACTAAGATGTTTTTTTTCTAATTTTCTGCTATAAACTAGGATTTTGTCCCATCCCATATGCTGAGCGCACAGGTTATAGGAATGCAAGTCACTCCTTAGTCCTTTGCCTAAATATGAGAGGAGAGCAGCCTCTGTGCAGTTGCTCCATAGTCTCTCCTGTTCAACACCAGTGGGATGGGAAAGCATGTTCAGGAAAAGGGAAGACCCTTGCATTTCCACCAGTCTGCATGTGAGTGTTCATCCAAGTCACTGATGAGTAAGTTAAAACTGGACACAGGATCAACCCTTGGGAGACAGAGCTAGCGACAGTCTCCAGCCAGACCAGTTGTCACTGATCACAACCCTCTGATGTGTGTTCATACAGGGATCACTCACTGCTTAAAGACAGAAAGAGGTCCAAGAGAAGCCAAAACTCGCACATGCAGTCTTGCACACTGTTAGGGAGACACAGCTGGGGCTGCACTATCCCCTGCCTCTCCCCCCACCTTGGCCAGGAGCCGTGGTCTCACGCAAAGGAGGTGGGGGTGCTTCCATCTGCTACCTCTTCCTTCACACAAGGCTGAATATGCTTTAAACTGCTTATAATGCAACAATCCCAGGAGGAATTTCTTCACCCAGAGGGTGGTTAAGCCTTGGAACAGGCTGCCTGGGGTAGGGGTGGAGTCCCCATGCCTGGAAGTGTTCAAGAAATGACTGGATATGGCACCTGGTGCTATGGTTTAGTTGGACAGGGTGGTGTTCAGTCAAAGGTTGGACTCATGATTGTGGAAATCTTTTCCAACCTCAATGATTTTATGATCTGCTCCTCTCCAACCCACCCTTAAAAGGCAACAGTTCCCATGTGGGGAAGTAGCTGGGCTGCCTTTATCCAAGTTAGAAGGCAGGTATCAACAAATCGTGTAATTATGCAAACAAAAGCCCATTGTATCCCTTGGGGTATCTCAGATTTTTAGCTACTTAGTGTAAAGCACACAGTTATGAATAAAAACCATTTTTTTCATGAATGCTTGTTTAAGTTAAAGCCCTAGGATTAGGAATGCTCTAAGTATTTTAAGATAGTATTTTATAATTAATTAAAAATTTAAACTATTTGGTCTAAATTCAGTTTTGCTCTTTCACTAAGTACTCTTCCGTGACCAGAATCAGGATGTAGGTTCAAAGTTAACACATTTGTAGCAAATCCCTCCAAGTTCAGTGGGAGATCTCAATTGTCCCTACAAGAAGTAGAAAACTGCTACAGGGGCATAGAAAATAACTGATGCACTCTCAGATTCACACAACTGTATTTATCTAACTCTAGGGAAGAACTTGATCTTCACAGGTATAGAGCATAACCTACCTAGTGACATTATTAAAGTAAATAAAAGTTAACTACAGAAAGGTCTGATTATGGAAAGAAAAAGATACCTATAAATTCTGATTCAATGTGTCTCTCTCTACACCTACACAGAAACACAGAATCAATTAGGCTGGAAAACACCTCTGAGATAAAGTCCAACCTATGACCAAGCACCACCATATCAACTAGACCATGGAACCGAGTGTCACAGTCAGTCTTTCTTTAAACACCTCAAGGGACAGTGACTCCATGACATCCCTGGGCAGCCCATTACAATGTCTAATCACCTTTTCTGTGAAAAAATCCCTCCTCATGTCCAACCTAAACCTCCCTTGGGGCAGCTTATGACTATGTCCTTTTATCCTGCCACTAGCTGCCTGGGAGAAGGGGACAACCCCCACCTGGCTACAACCTCCTTTCAGGTGGGTATGAACGTTCAAGTACATAACTGCGTTTATGTGTGCATATACATATACACAGAGGTTTTACTTTCATAAGATCCTCCTCTTCAACCAGTTGACCACGGATATCTGCATTCTGAGGGCTTGAGTGTGCCACACCTTTTATTTTTCCCTTACTCTTTCAAACCTTCCCCGCAGGATACAAGCAGGGCACTTGAAACAGTTGAGTTGTTCAAGACACCTCAGAATAGATCTGAAGAGCAATTCTGAGTTCTTCACAGGCAATGAAACAGCTAAGGGGACTGTCTCTCTGTGGCACAGCAACGGAACCTCTCAAGCATTAAAACCCATTATGAACAAAATAGGGAAGTTCCAGGGAATGGAATTTATTCGTCTGAACTGAAGAACGGAAGATGAGAACTTATCTCTTTGCAGAACATCCATAAGGAAGATGTGGCATTCTTAAAATATCTTGATACTCACTTATGAGTAGGACTATTCATCCTACACCCTACTTCTGCACACAGGAAGGGACGAGCTCATAGCAGAAGAATTTTTTTCGGCAGTGGGAACAACTGCACAATGATCATCTTCCACCCAGTGTGGGATTCCATTGGAGACTACGGATGCCCCAGCAAGTGTTGGGGCATCACTACATGTTTGTGAAAGGCTCTCAGCTTTTATTAATTAATTCCTGACAAAGCAATAAAACCCTGTAGCAGAAAGCCACACTGCTCATTCCTGCATCATATGAAATCATTCACCGTTTTATGTACAAGTTTTGAATTACAATCTTCAACTCCTTATCAGAAAAAATAAACCAAAAAGCCTAAAAAAGCATTTTGGAAGAACTGCATAGTGTACAGAATCATACTTTCCATTACACAATATTTTACAGAACACACACTGCAACAAAAAGCAGAGACTGTTACCTTTTCTGAGAAGGCAACCCCCAGTCAAAACTAGATGTTTCACCTCTCTTAGTAGAGGAACAGCTTTAACTGGACAAAAGAGTACATGAAAAAAGTTCCTGAACAGTCCAGATACTTTAACAGAAAAAAAACAAGTACATTTGTAAACAACTTTAAAACAAGAGCCATATGAAAACAACAAAGGTCACTGAAAATTAAGCTCTTTACCCTAGAGCTCTTTACTCTCTTCTTTACCCTAGTAAGTTGTTTTCTTTTTAATGATACACAAATTTTGCCACATGGAAAACTTCAGTGAGAAATCTGGGCAAATATTATTTCATTTTTGGTGGAATTAAGAAAGGGACAATTTGAAGGCAAAAGGTCAAACTCCAAATTCCTTCTGAAAATTACAAGAGCAATATAATTTAACTACTGAATGGAGCTGACAGTGCATGGCAGCACAGCACTTATTTTATAATCTGAGACCCTTTATAATGTAAACCCTGAAAAGTCATAAGCAACTGCTAGAACAGACTTCTGTATTATGTACCATTAATTTATCACTGCATTCACCTTCACTACTCAAACCTTGCCATAAAGTGACTTTTCACATACAAAACGGATTTACCCTAAGCGTATCTGTTTTACAACACACTGAAATGTAAAAACTGTCCTAGTAAACGATTTTGTGTATGTAACTATCAACCATGCACCTGAAGTTGAACATCAGTATTTATGCTTCTCTACTTAATGCTTCAGCATATGTTAAGTAAGCTACTGATCACTGAATGTCTCCATTTTGGTAGATGGACAGATGCATTCGAACAGCAATGCTCTGGATAACTTGTGCTATTCCTAATACTACAGTTATTTTCTCTCCCAATTACATTTTGCTATAAATATGTGTGCCCTTAAGTTGATCCCAATATCAGTTTCAGCTAAGTAATGAAATTATCTGCTAAGGTTTTGGAAATGATAACCCTTCCTTTATTTAAATAAAATGAGGGAAGGGTTTCTAACTCCCAAAGGTTTGCCAACAACAGATTTATTTTCAAGAGAGGATGACACAGTTTAGTACATTGTTCATCATCTTTGCTGTTCACAGATAAGCACAACAGTACTAATGGTTTTTATCAAGTAGGCAGGAAAGAAAAGAGAAAATACTGTGAAGTTTTTACCCTTAAGGTTTTTCTAAGTTCTGCTCATGGGCTCTTATTCATTTAAAATAAGTGTAAGGCAAATTTTAGATTACCTTTCTTTCATCTGGAGGGCTCCACAGCTCAACTTCAATTTTCTACTTATCTTTTGCAAAGGAGTGTTATTAAAACCCTGCCCACAACTAGGTACCTTAAGAACTTACACAAGGAATAATTTATCATTATATTTAGAAGTGCCTCATTTTTGTACCAGTTAATTCATAATCCAAGTAATTAATCTGCAATGTAAAGCAAGCAGTTATTTTTCTCCCATGTAATAATGGTGAATAACAACACTAAGCATTACTTACTCCACTTGAGTTCATTAAATGCAACTCTTCAGTCACAGAGGCAGCAGGCATTCTGTGATGGACTTCTTTTGAACTATGTTCAAATGAGTAGAATAACTGAGACTCCTGATGGAGATCTAAGCCATTTTCCTCATGTTCTTAATAGCTTCCGCTATTTGCACAGTCAACTCCACTTCATAATTTGCTATTTAAAATAAATTCATTTCCCCAAACCCTTCTCTCCCTATCTAAAACAAACTTATTTACATTTATGGTAAATGCTTTTCATCAAATCAGTTGTAAGAAAAACAAAACAAAACCAGTAAAAGAGCAAAACTATAAAGGGAGCAAGTATTTCAAGTTTTGTAATAATTTTCTTTCTGAATTTCCATCCCAAGATGCTACAGGGACAAAAGCTTTAAAGGTTTAAAACATGCTTCCACACATTCTTCCTCTCTTCCACAGATCCTTCCTCTTTTCACAAGGGACCAACTTTGCCCAGTGAATCACCTTCATAACTTTTGCCCGGTAATTAAGTGAAACTGCATGTCATTCACCGCAAGAAAGTAAACAAAATACAGTCTTTTACTTCAAATATTTTATGAAAGCAAGATTACAAGAAACATATTAGTCAAAATGCAGGGCTCTCAAGCACTGAACCAAGGATGCTGGCATCAGTTTGCCTATCATTCTGCATGTGGAAAAAATACACTATGTCTACAGGTAAAAGGCATCACTAATTACTGTGGTCAGCCAACATCACCTCTGCAGCCTGGCGCCTGTTTAAGTCCTGAAAACAATCAATCATCATAATAATAGTTTGAGATGAGACACTGGAACAAGACCATTCTTAAACAGGAAAGTCTTTTTCTTTTTTTTGCTCTTATTGAGGTAACACCAAAAACTAAAAACAGGGTCTTGAAATTTAGCAGCCTCCTTAACACTTGTTAGGCTAGCCTTCACACAAGGAGCATGCAAGCAGCCACTCTTCTTGCTTTCAACTGAGGGCTGTTGGTTAATTGAAGTCACTGTTTTCTCACCTTATTCGATTAACCTGTTGAACTGGATGTCCACCATAGGAAAGAGAAAATTAAATGATGTTAAGTGTAGCAGACAAGTACAGATCACACCAAGAAGCTAACACTCAAGAGCTGTCATAATAAGGGATAATAATATCAATTAAAAAAAAAAAATAAATCAGTCTTTTCTGTGCATATTTTTCATTTGAAAGGTCCCAGGAAATCATGATGTGCCTGGCCGTTTCTGTTGCTGATTTCTGATGACCTCTAATTGTTTTTTGCATTGCTGATAGTATGTTGAGAGACTTTTGTTTTCATCTAACAGCTTTTTATGTTCTTGTACCAGACGGGATGTGTTTTGCTGGTCTTTTTCATCCTGGTCCAGTTCTGCTATTAGTTCTTGTCTAAAATGATAATAAAAAAAAGTAATTGCCATTTATAATCTATTTCTATTTGTGTGTAGACAATTTCACAGATTTCAAATCAGTAACTGATTATCAATCTGAACTCACAGCTGATGGTATTTTGTGCAAAAAAAGTTGACCAAAAAAATCTTATTCTTTAATGTAGTCTGGGGAAAAATTCTCTTCCAAATCAAGTCCACGTTTAAACTTAAAACTAGCTGCAAGACATAGCCTCAATCTCTAAAACTGTCCTTTAGATAATGTCTTTCAGACATAGTTCTAAAGGTCACAGCAAAACATCTAAGGAGCCATACAAAACTTCATATATTTATTCAGCTCTTAATTTTGCATAAATATATGCACATTTTAAATCTCTAAAGATAACTTAAAATACAAAATTGCAGTAATTTTTCATAACTTTTTAGTGAAGTGCATTTTCTACTTGTACTTGAACTTATGAAAGCAGTGGAAATGCAGAATCAATGAAATTATTTTTGTAATTGGCATTTCACATAATTTATGCCATAAATGTACACTGTTTCTTAGCAGCAATTTTAGAGGACCAAACATGCTGATAAACTTGTTATAATTTATTCTGCAAAACTGATGTAGCAGTTTGTTTTACTATTTGTTTACAAGGCAACAAGGAGGCAAGCTGCCAGTAATATTTTTGCAACAAAATAGTAAAGGAGAAAGTTCATGTTAATTAATTGTTGCCATATGGTTTGTAATTACAGTTGAAGAACACTTAATAATTCTTTGAGGGCTGAACTAATAACTACCTTAACCAGCATTAAATTAATCCATCACAACATAATTTTTGTTTAACATTCATGAACAATTACATTCTGACTAAGAAAAAACAGTTTGGAAGAAAAGTCAATACAAAATTACTACAAAAAACCCCTAGTAGGAACCTAAAAGCAGAGAATTAAGAGTTTTGAAACAGAAACACATTTTTATATAAGTTATTGGCCCTTAGAAATAACACAAAATCAAAATTAAGATATTCTCTCTAGCTTCAGTATTTCCTCATCGAGATATTCCTCCTAAAAATTCTATTTGCATGTGGAAAAATCAAATTGTTCTCAGGATACTAAGCCAAAAGCGAATACATGATAGGAGTTCAAACTTACAGTAACATTTTCCCCTACCGTTCTGTATGCTATTTCTAACGTACAAAAGGTTTACACAACACATTTTTCTCATTAACTAATCCATAAACTCCAAGGCAAACCCCATATTAACAACTGCCTGCCTGCAGTGGCTCAGACATTGATGGGAAACGAGCTGATAACTTGGTCTAGCGTGGGAGTATTTGTGACCTCTCAGAACTGCTCCCCAGCATCATGAAACAGAAAGGGTAAGTAGTGCACAACAGAAGTTACTGTGAACTCAAGTTCTCAATCAGCAATAATTTTCACCCTAATACAACCATACATGCAGTGGCCTCACTTATACGTGTACACAGCGTAAGAAGAAAGAGTTTATTTCTGGTGCACAAGGAGAAGGTACATAAAAAGGTCAAAGTATTAAACTCCTGGCAGAAAAATGTAAGACGTGTGTTGATAACACTGTTGTAAATGCAATGCTTGACAAAAGTCAGATAAAAACTTACTGCAAAATGAGTAACACTGACACATTACTCAAAATTCTATGATCTGTTAACTGATTACCTGCAGCTACAACTGAAAACTTGTTAATGGATAGTGTTGTAAATAAAATTCCAAGGTTCTTTAACAGTCCAGGTCTTTCATCTGAGATGATACAAACAAACATTACTAGTTTGTTACATATACAGATGTGCCACACACTTATCTAGGACTTGCCCAGAAGAAGTGTCTTGATATTGATTTAAACTTTCAATTATCTCACCTGTACTGAGCAGCTCAGTATTTTTAAGATTAAGGCTGGAAAATAATTATGCCCTATGAAATGTTACTTCATAAAGCCAGATATAACAGTCACAGAGAACAGTGTGTAAAAAAAAACCACAGAGAAGAACAGAAAAGGTAAAACACATTTTACTTACTTCCTCTGCAACAACAATGCAATTTCTGTCTGAACTTTCATATATTCTTGTGCCATTTTGCAGTGCTGTTCAAACACAGCCATAGATTCTTTGGAGTTTGGGCACGGTGCTAGAGGCTGAAAATAAATCAGACATGTTAAAGACTAATGAACTGATATCTTAGTAAATAGTGTGTTAGAATGTCTCTGCAGTGTATTTATAACATCTTTTAAAAACCAGTAAGCTTTTAAAAATAAGTGTTAAACCATGCCCTGGAAAACGTTACTGCACCAATGTCAAAGATGACTCAAACCTCAAAACTGCAGTTTTTAATCTGACACCTGTCACAAAAATCAAAGTAGTGTTTGATCCAACATATAATAAATACAGTGTGTACAACAACTTAATTCAGTAACACTCAAGCAAATAATGTCTTATTTTGACAGTCAAACTCAGTTTACATTTGGTTTTAGGAATCATGTTTCCCAGGGCTTGTTTTTAATAGCTTGATCAAATCTGAGTCAACCAATCTCCGATTACGCAATACATTTTTTTTTAGCCTTGGTCAAAAATTAGACAGAATATAAACCCAGGTAAATATGTGCCACTATATTTTGCAGCCCAAAAGTCACACGTTAAAATGAATTTAATAAAGTGTCTATTTATTACCTGTAACTGATGATCTAATGTAAGATATGCCATTGGGATGGAGTTATCTGACCCATTGGTCTCTGTAACAATACCAAGAAAATTTTAACTTATTTTCAAGAGTTAATTCTATTCTTATAGGACAAAAACAAGAATTCTAAGTAATTTCACAAAACACAATCTGAATGTGGACAGGCAGATGGAAATAGCAGTGTTTCAATCCCAAGGCAGATGAATCATTTTGTTTTTCTGATAGTTAAAAACTTCAAAAAGAAATAAAGATTATGGTTATCAACCTACATTTCTAGAAGCCATGTAACAGCATACAGATTTTAAAAACATTATTTTTGTACAGTTTGTAATCATTTCTGTTTATAAAAAAATTGCCATTTCATTCTTGTTTATGAAGGATCAGCCAGCCAGCCCATGCATCTAATCACTTTAAAATTAGAAGCTGTGCAAATCGGCTCTGCCAAAATAAAATAAGCACAACCTCCTGCTCAGTTTTGAAACCTGCTCCCAGTGAGGTCTCTAAGTTTCCTCCTCACGACACGCTCTAGGGCATCTTCTCTGCTCTGTAGAGATACTTTGTGGGTAGCATGGAATCCAATCTGTCTCCTGGGCTGGGCTGCTCTCTTCTTACACTGCAGTTACTCTAGATTTCTCTAGTGCTTTCATTCCAGATTTCACACGTTTCTGAATTCTTACAGATCCTATCTTTTAGTAGCCCACAATCTGGGGATTAAAGGGTTACTGTTAAGCTTTAAGAGACATAAAGACACATGGAGAGACTACTGATTTTACAGCTGCATTATTGCTACTAGAGGATTATATGGAGGAGGGTAGGTGGGAAAAAAAAGGGGCTGCTTACCCATACCCCAAAAGCACCTGCCACAGAGTAGTCGTGGTAGAGAAACTAAGGTGTTGCCCTCAAAGACTATGCTATCTCCAAGAGCAGCTTCAAAAGGAAACAGAAATAAGAGGGTGGGAATGGAGAAAAAGTGGTTAAGTGTATGCTTGTAAGGAAACTGGAAGGTGGTAAAAACAAAAAAAAAGAAAACAACCCTAAAACCAAAGACTTAATCACTACAGCATCTTAAATGCGATCAATATAAAAAAGTCCTTCCCTAAGTTAGACTGTTGCTGTAAATGGATACTGCTAAAACAAAGCTATCACTACAACGCTTCAAATACATCAATACATGCAAAATACTTCAGATGACATTCTCGAGCATTTCAACAGTGTCACAGAACTGCAACTTTTCCTGTGACTGACCAGATTCAGCTGTATCCTTGTTTTATCATTTTGCCTCATTATTTCAAAATGCACTCTCTTTTTCAGAAAATCAAAATTATTTCTCTCTCTAGAAATTCAAACAATTCTTTGTTCATGGACTGCATAAACCTAACAAGAAAAAATATATGTATGGTACATTCTGTATTTACCTCAGTATAAGGTATTGAGGGATTTCTGTGGGCCAGAAAACAGACCTGACTTTTAGCTCTAGTGTGTGCTGCATTTAAGAATAAAGACTTGGCACAAACTGTCCTTGCACTGGCATAGGACTAGCAGCTTTCAGTTCCCAATGAACTACTGACTGGTAAGACCTTGCTTTCATATGAGGCAGCAATTCCCATAAGTGCTCACTGCCCAAAGATCCATGTTGTGCAAGAGGGCACAGGGTGGGCTGTAGCAACAGGCAAGGGGCTTTGGGAAATTAAGAGTGATAGGGCACAGAGTGTAACCAGGCAAAGTAACAATGGACAGAAAGAAGAAAACACAGAAGCGAAATGCAAGGGTATGATGTCCTCCTCCCACTAAGGCAGGGAGAAAAAACCCGAAGTAGAAGTCACCTTATATTTGGTAAAATACAAGTGTGCATATGTATATACAAATGTATGTATATATACATATGCCTGTGTAAGAGTTAGTCCACATGTGAGTTTCCATTTTGTACTCGGTTAGAGGAAAAGAAAAAGAGACTGATCAGCCAGATGAAATGGATCACAAGAAAAAGATTTCAGAATTAGACACATTGTGAAGTACCAGCTTGAGTCTAAGTTTAGATTCAATATGTACAGTTTGGTAACAAAACTGTAATTTTTATTTACATTCTGAAAAGGAATTTGTGGGATCCACTGTTTTCATGCAGTCCAGTACTGGTTCTTTTCATTATGGAATGCACTGTGACTTTTAAAATCAGATTCAACCACTCAATTATGCTCAGTCTTAATCCTATTTCATAACAAAAGAACAGTGATGCTACAGTAGAAGTATTTACAACATTTCTGCAGACACATTAGTTCATTGAAAAAAAGTAATTTTGTGTGCACATGTACATTCTGCATAAGCAAAATTACAACATAGATGATATACAGAATTAAACTATTCCTGATACTCACCTGCATAGCATTTCACCCCAGATGTCAGAGCAACAAAAGTTTTAAATGTACATTCATAATATGAATGCACAAGACTAAAATGTAACAAGATGTCTATGCCACTAATTTCCTAAAACCACACTACAGTCAAAAACTGGTGCTAACAAAATCTTTGTTAAATATTAGTATCACTGAACATGTACAGTACTTTCTTACAAGCAAAATACTTACAAGTCTATGTAACTCAATATAATCTATAAAAAAGTGTTCTCAAAGCCTACATGAAAAACAAGTCAGTAATGTAATGATTTAATTTAAGCAAAACTAAAATGGACCTTGACTTTCATTGCTTACTTTTATTAATGTCCAAGCACACACCCCACACCACAGCCAAATAAATACTTTATATTTTTTACAGGCAAAAATTTAAGTAATGAACAAAGGATTACCTGCATCATCAGGTGTCCATGGATTACGAGTTGGCTTTTCAGAGGTTGGTCCCGAGGTAGTGATCATTCTCACACTAGGACTAGATGATCTACTGCTGTTTCTACTCTCCTGAAAAGACAAAATAAAACAAAATGACAAGTTAACAGAAGATTTTTGAAAAGTTATTTAAAAAAGGGAAAAAAAGAAGGAATAAATCTGAACCTATAAACCTCCAAAACACCCTTCTCTCCCAAGCTTTTACTCTGAAAGCTCTCTTGACAGTTTGATCAACTTTACATGCAGCGCAGGGATAATTTCATCCCCATTTGTACTCCATCTGTACTGTGTAAAATAAATTAATACAATTTTGCTATTCAGCATAATAAAAGCAATGCTGAACAATATGTTCAAGATCTTTACAGAAAAGCATGACAACATGTCTAGGAATTTTCACACCACCATTCAGTGAAATCTAGCAACTCCATAACATAAGGAAGAAATAGTTTGTTTCCAATGTTTAATCAATGAATGAAACTACATTCAACTAAAGGAATACAGCTTAGTAACTGCACTAGACTGCAGTGTATTAATTTACAGTTTTCTTATGGTTCTTCTGTTTAGCATGTTCTTTTATATACCATTTGACTCCTCCAATCCTTTTGTTTATCCAAGCACAAAACCACAATACAGATTCCATTATTCTACTGAGCTTCTTTTTCAGAATAATTATTTATAACATGTATGTATTTCACATATGCCCTCATTGACATAAAATTAACACAGTAAAGGACTTAAGACTATAAGCCCCAATGAGTTTTGCTGAAAAAAATGAAGTAAAAAGAAGCAATTAAAATACAACTACTTTCAAGATGGTGTATTTATCATGAAACAATTAATTAAATGTCTCCATTTTTCAAAAGAAGCATTCAAATACACATTTCCTGGAAACTATATTTCTTTAAGCCTCTTTATGATTTCCAAATATCCTACCTTAATTTAAGTTT